AACAATAATTAGTTTCAAAAAAATAGTGAAACATTTTTGTGGCAAATAAAATGTTGTATTCAATATTTTTTAAATTTTATTATTTTAAGGGCGTTTTTATAATTTTATCCATTCCTATGGTATAATTTTTTTTTCTGTGAATATTAATAAACATTATAAATTTCCTGCCAACGGAATTTATGAACTCATTATAGCAATTAATAATTATAATTAATTAATTTTTATGTCTATAGACATTCTAATGGCATATTATTATACGAAAGATAATGCAGGGTATTATTTACGAGTATAAGGTTTTCGTCTCGAAACGCTAGACGAGAGACTCAATTATCTGAGTGAATAATGCGCTAAATCTATAGTGTAATACTATACTTTATCTACTCCAATAAAGATAAATAAATAAAATCTGACATCTGTCCAATTTAAAACCTGATTGGTTAAAATAGCAGTGAATATTAAAATCTGTCAATCACGCGTTGATAATAATAAAGCTTAAATTATAGAACGCAAAATGTTAAAAAAACTTTCCCTGAATGGTCTAAATTATTTTTACGGCATAGGAGATAATCGAATAGTATTCTATTAACTTCTAGGCTGTAAAAATAATTTAGACCATTCAGGGAAAGTTTTTTACATCCTAGTATGTAAAAAAACTGTTAGGACCAATAAAAAAATTTGGTAACTACTGACAGCTCTGAGCTGTCTAACCTCCCTTTTTACTTTTAATAATTGTTATTATGATTGTACCTTTTAGGTATCGTTTGACAAATAAAAATGTGCCTTGAATATAAAATGCTTTGCTTAATTGTGCACAAAAAGATTCACTTCCTTGTGATATAAATAACTATTTTTTACTTTTGGTCTACGAAAAATAATACATAGTTTGTTTGTATCAAATTTCCTCACCGCATAAAAATGTACATATTGCATAAGACTCGAGTACTTTGGAAGTACTCGAGTACACGGGAAAGAAGGTACATTTTTACAATCTAAAATGTATCAAGTACAATTATAAGTCAAATTAAAGTACTCGGGACTGAGTACCAAGTAAACTGAGTACATAGATCCATGTACTCGAGCACAGTGTTTGAGTACTTGTACTCGAGTACTCGTACTCGAGTACCGCACAGCTCTGATTGTACGATAAATAAAATGTAAAAAATTAAAGTTGGCAGAGGATTTTTAAATTTGAAATTTAAAATTTGATATACGAACATAAATTTTGATTTCAACCAACTGTTACCAAAATGTTGTTGGACAGAATATCTTGAACTGTTTAAACTCCCAGACAGCATCCAATTCAGAAAGATTTCTGTACGAAGTCTGTTGAAAAACTTCTTACCGAGGTCACAATATGACATCTTAGAGAAATCATTTGTAGGAGCTCAAGATTAAGAGTTCTTGATGAATTCATAAATGAGAAGTATCTTTTTTTCTGACCTCTTATTGGAATCAAAATTATAAGCTACTAAGGGTATCATAAATAAGACTTCAGTTATATAATATCTTACAGTATTCTCTTTTCTTACTTCTTACTGAAATCATATTATTAACTCTTTAAGACGTCAACATGGAGACGTCACATTTATGACATTTTAATGCGATTACTTTCTTCTCACCGCTGTAACTGCTTGTGTTTGATATAAGAAACGGCGAAGTAGAATTTAGAGCGTGCTCCATACCAAACGGTCTTAGACTTAGGTAAACGGCTACCCGATACTGACGAGCTCCAAAAGAGCAAAACAGGCCTTCTATCGGTGCCGGTATAGAGCACGCTTGAATTTAAACAAAAGTGAGACGAAGTAATCGCGATTCCAAAAATAAAGCAAATACGAGCAAATTATTAAAATGATTTTAATAAAATTAATTTAACAAATTCGTTTGTTTTATGGTAATTAAACTTTACATGTGAAAATAAGCAACGATCCAGTATGTATTTTTTTTATCAGTACCCTAGTAGTACCTACTTCTATATCCAAAACGGGAAATTCTAAAGAAGTATTTTTATAAGTTTATACAGTAGGACTCTTTAAAATGCTTAATTGCGAAGTCAAAGAAAAAGGGTTCCTCAAGAGTTCTGTTTTGAGAAGTCTTGATTAGTTCAATAGGTGGCGCATTCGAAGTCTTAAGAACTTCTTAAAAACTTCTTTCTGATGATGTTTTTAACGTCCAAATCATAAAATAGAGCTTAATTAAGACGTCATTATTCTGTCTGGGAACTGTATATAGTTATAAGCAAGGACCGAATTTTAGGCAAAATGCCTTTTTGTTTCTATTTTGGGCATTTGTTTGGGACCTTGAAATTAATCCTAAACATAAAAAAATAAAGCGTTTGACATTCCTTTGTTTTTGCCTAAAAGCCTAAAATGGCGAATTTTGATTTATTGTCCTAAAAGTACATTTTTATCAGGCTAAAATAGGCTTTTTTAAATTTTCAGAAAAAAATATATTTTCCATTGCGAAAAAGTAAATTATTTTTAATTAGGACCTGCTTTCTTGCTGTTATTTCGCCTAGAGGACCTATAAGGACCACAAATTACAAAACTAGTGAAAACCTAATGAAAAAAGTAATTGTGTTTTTGTTATATCTAAATATTCATTATAAATAATAATGGATAATATTAAGTTTGTAAAATAATTAATATTTACTTTGTTTTTATAGGTTTTACTGAAATTTCCATTTATGTATTACATTATGGTAATTTCAGTATTTTTAACAGTTTTTAGTAAAATAATTTGTCGCCATCACAAAAATAAAATATTGGCTGGAGCATCAGTGCGATGACACCCAAATATTTTTTAAAAGTTGTGCCAAGGTTTTAACATCTTTACACAGTAAAAAAAGTTTATTCCAAGAGGTCCACTTTTTTGTTGTTATAGTAAAATATTTTGCATTTCCAAGTTGTTAAATTACGTTTGTTAATATACAATTCAATTAAATTTTTTAAATTTACAAAATTCTTTGCTAAAAAGATAAATTATCAATTTAAATTGTTGTTTTAGCAAAATGTATGTAATATAATAAATTTTTTAATTAAATTTGTTGATTTAACCACTTAATTTTGCCAATTTTACCAAAAATGTTTGTTGTATTAACAAATATAATATAATATTAATAAATATTATAGCAACCTGTACTATAGTACATATAGTATACACAATGAAACAAAATTAAGTTTTCATTAATAGTAATGTAATAGTAAATGAATTTACTTATGTTTATTTATATTGGCGAAATATTTGCTTTAAATTTTACAAGCATAGGTTTTCCTTTTCTTTATTCATACTGGCCATTGTTTGCTAGAGTTTGCGTTATTATTTTTATTATGCAGTTTATATTAAGAGAGATGTATTTTTTGTTTTATTTTTATTGATAGTACCTGAATAAATGTTATGTTCAATCGTGTTTTCATATCGCCTATTTTAGGCGGTTGAGGCCTATTTTGGGCACTTTCGGCCTAAAACGGCCTAAAACGTAGGTTTTTATTCCCTATTTATGTGTCCCAATTTCCAATTTTTAACGACCTAAAATCCGGTCTTTGGTTATAAGTTATTTAGTTACTGTGATTATAACTTATAATCACAGTAACTGTTACTATAGTCAATTTAAAATATGACTACAGTAACTGTGGTTATGACTATATACCAGTGGTGGCAATTTTATTTGCGTTTTTGGAGCACTTTAGAATCTAAATAATAAAAATATAATATTTAAAAATATGTTCTTGCACGAGAAGAATGTTCAAAATTTAGCTAGAATAATACAAAAAGTGCGGGACGAGGTTTTCATAGGTTTTACTGTAATTTCCATTTATGCATTACATTATGGTAATCTGAGACTTTTTAACAGTTTTTAGTAAAATAATTTGTCGCCATCAGGTAGGTATATAATAAAATGACTCCACAATGTACAGGTGGTAAATAGTTTTTCTATAAAGACAATACATGGCTAAACCAACTTTGACAAATTTTGGAATCAACGCATCGTGCTTTTGTTTGTATTTGTTTATATTTTTTGTTGGGATTTTTATTTATTCCTTCAGCAGGTTTCCACATTACCCAGGAGGTACTGCTCATTTTTACCTATCTTACAATAATTATTTTTAGATTAATTAATTTAGATTAATAACACTGAACTATAAAAAAACATGAATATTTTTATTTATATTTTTTGTGATTTTTACTGTGGTATTTGTGTGTTAATATAATAATATATTAAAATAAAAATGATCTTTTATAATTATTTGAATTATTTTTACATGAATTCACAACACAATAATGTATTTTACGCTTGTATTTTTATCAAAACTTTCCATTTTAACGCTAAGGCAAAGACTAAACAGAAATAAGAAACTATAAACACGCATAGATCTAATATTTAATAAGCTTTGTTTACTATAACATTCCACGCCCGCCCAGTCTTTTACAACGGCTAATAAGCAAGCCGCACAGATCTCAGGACTGACTCTGCTGTCTTCCATATACTGTGGTACAAGCCCAACTTTTTGGGCCTCAATGTCTACAAAAAGTTGCGTATTTTCCCCGTCTTGCGGGGGTGCCGGCGGCACAGTGCAGCGGTGGGGAGCAAGATGTTGTATCGGCAATGTGTGACGTATATAAAGCGCAAATTTATGGGATTACTATTTCCCCATTATGCGTTTGGGCAATGATTTAAGCGTTTAGAATTAAAGTTGGAAGGGGTGCGCGCTAAATTTAAAGGAAATATTTTAAACTTTAATGGTTACCCATTCTATGTTTTGTTACTTTTAATGACTGGAAATTAGTTTTAAAACGTTTTATATTTAAATAATCGAAAATTTCAAATTATATTATAATTTTAACATGTGAGGCCCGGCCTCAGTTGCTTTATACGACGAGCCGCCACTGCTATATACGGTTCCTACTTAAATATAATTTAGTTACATTATATTATTTTTCATTAAATGATATATTTTAGTCTAAGCTTTTAGGTAAAAACGCAAAAATAATGCTTAACTTACCATATACAGGAGTTGAATAAGAACGCTGCCGATTGTAAGCAGTCGTGCATGATTTAAATGAAGACTCTTCGAAGCCGCGATCGGGGCTATAAACAGAACAACTTCTTACAAAATTCTGACATAAAGTGCTTTTATTGCTCGAAGAACATATCGAAGATTCATCTTCACTTTTTTTGCCAAAATCCTGTTTAAGGATATCGTCAATGAGAAAAGACATTATTTTCGTTGACTCAAATAAAATTAGTAGTGTGTTAAATAACCGTTTAAGATAAACTGAAGCAAATATTACATTTGTTAATTATGTGGTAGATACCAAAGTTGGGATTTTTAACCACTATCAATTGTTAATATTGCTTCCGTTATTTAGGCGATTATAGGAAAGATTTCGATGGCGTTTATTCAGATAAAGGTTTATATGACGTTTTTCAGGAACGTAATTATGGTTATTTATTATACAAGACGATAAAATGTTATTTCGTGAATTAATTTCAGGAGACGATAATGAAATTTTATCGTCGTGTATAATACGATGTTTTTTTTATTGCCCAAGTATTTTTAGTAATAATTATTTAAATGGCTTTGCGTATCATTGATATCGATGATACGCAAAAGCCATTTATGGGTATATTTAATATTTAAAACCTGTAAATTACATGCCATTGACGTCAAAAAACACCCAACAAATTGTTTTGTTAAAATAATAGTACATTGTTGACGGAGTAGAAGTCTACATTCCTGGACGACTCACTGTGGGCCAGGATTTTCCAAAACATTGAAAAATATCAAACTTAACAAATGTATCAAATTTTATAATGTAATTATTAGAAATAAAGAAAAATAAGTTAATTTTACTTATGCCCAGAAAACGAAATATTGTTAGACCAGAGTAAAATTTAACAATATTTGGCTATTTTGCAAACTTTACCCACCAGGGCGAAATTCTAAAACTTATTGAAGATCTTGTGTTTTTTAATAAAATATATAGGATGTCAAAATGGAAATAATGTCACAAATACAACTTTAAGAGCCTATATATTTATTTATATACCTATTATTTATTTTTCAACAGTTTTTGAAAAATAATATAGATTTTCATAGACAACTTATGGCCGCAAAAAAAATCGAAACAAAGCTTGAAAAAGCTGAGTTATTCAAAAAAATTATTTACCCATTTGTTTGCGACTCACCCATGTAAAATCTTTATTTATTGTGCGATTTTAACCGGATATGTTTTAAAGTGTAGATCTTGATAAACTGTATTTTTGGAGCAAAAACGCCATATTTTTACAAAATACAAAGCCTACTATGTCAGTTTTTAAGAGTAAATTTTTAATAATTTATATTAGTGATTTTTTTAAACAAATCCGGTTAAAATCGCACAATAAATAAAGACTTTACAGGGGTGAGTCGCAAACAAATGGGTCACACTGTATATAATATATTATATTTTTGTTATATTAAAAAAAAACTCAACTATTTTGCTTTTTAATAATAAAAGTTTCTTGTTTTCAGGGTATTTTAAAATTACTCTGCCAATTTATAGGCACCACAGCACAAACGATGAAAAAAAGTTAAAAAAATCCATTAAAAACATAAAAATTGCATTAAATATGACATTTCGAAAAAAACGTCAAAACTTTCAAAATGACAGATCACATATACAAAAAGTCCTTTACAATCTAGGCCTAATAACCTTTTAACTAATACCCGAATAGAGCTTTATTTTGAATCAAATTGTAAAAGACCACAGAAAACCTTGCGTTTTCTTCTGGATAGGCAAAATTCGGCAAAAGTTTTTTTTTCGATAATAAAGCTTAAGTACTGGAGAGTTTAAGAGCATCAACAAAAACGTGTAGTTTAGTGTAGATCTTGATATATATCTGGTGAAATATCCATGCGATATGTTAATTTTTGCTTTTACAGTTGTATTCATTAAAAAAGCGTACAAGAATTAGAATGAAAGAAAACTGTCAACATTATTGCGTAAAACCGGCTTTCCACTGACTTAAGTCACTAGAACTGACAGTAGAAAATAAAAATGCCTCGTCAGTTATCACAAGTTGAAAAGGCTCAAATATTATCGAAGAAGGATGGTCAATTCGTGCTGTAGCGCAGTTGTAGAATAGAAATAAAAAAACTATATTAAAAATTAAGCAACGCTGGGAACAGAAGATTTACTAAACCGAAAACTTGGTTCAGGTCGTCCCAAAATGTCCACATCCTGAACAGGATGCTGCTTTTTTGGGATATTTAAGAAATAATACATTAGCAACAGCGAGGGATGCTGTTATTGATACAGAATTTACAGGCTCTTAACCCACCTCCAGCAGAAGGATCAAGAAATCTGAACTAAAAAATAGACCAGCTGCAAAAAAAATGTTTCTAACAGAGGAACAAAAACAATCAAGGGTTATATTTGCATTAAATTACATATACCGCAATCCCCAATTTTGGAACAGGCTAATTTTCACTGACAAAAAGACCTTTTAGTCAACTTATAACGGCCAAATTCGTGTTTATCGCCCTGACAACACTAGGTTTGAAGAACGGTATACCAACCCCCTTGCTACTAAACATGGCCGTTTCTCTGTGAACGTACACTCTTAGAAAAGACCTGGTATTTGTAACTAACTTATTATCGTTGGGGTAAAACTGTTGCAGAAAATAAAATTTTTTGTTTTTTGTAATCAGTACATTTATATGTGTAACTGCTTGCATCATTACCTGAAAAGATTTAGTTTTGTTGTTGAGTATTATTTACTGCAAAAAGGCGATTAAGTTATTTTAACTGAAACTTTGTGTTGGCTAGAAGTATTGACAACATTATCTCAAAAAAATCATTTCGGCGGTAAAATGTTTTTGTTGGACCAAATATTTAAGTAACATTCTCAACTGACTGAAATTAGTCCGTGGAACTAACGGTTCGGTTGTATAAACTATGCGTCACTTTTCACACCAGCGGTGTGAAACAAAGTGTCAGTTGGGGATGTTGTCTCTGTAGGTTAATGTAACTGCAAACTTTGTGCATTTCGCGCGCGATTTGTCCAGCCCGGCGCGTGCTTTACTTTTAACCTGTAAACAAACGGTGTTGCACGGCGTCCAGACTTCGGTGGTGTTTGTTCTTTTGTATTTGTGTATCAGCTCGTGTGTAGTGTATATTTTAGGTAAGAAACTAGTTTATTACAATTAGTCATTTGCCCCTGTAAATTCAGTGGCGACATACTTTTTAACTATTCATATATATAAGAATATATTCTTATGTGTTGGTTACTTATATATATCTCGAACAAATAATATGGATGAGCGGACTGAAGTAGCAGATTTATTAGGAACATGGGGTTTACCTGAATTGGTTCCAGTTTTTAAAGGTTATTTATTATTATTGCACTTCTTTAATTACACTATTGTAGTTTTGGGGTCCGAAAAAAAATCCAAAAATGTGAAAATGCCATTCCGACTGAAAATGGCCTCCTGAACCCAATGGTGCCCACCAAAAGTCTCCATCACGTCGGAATTTTTTTTGTTTTGTTTTGTTTTGTTACAGCTCAAGTCGCATTTTTGGTATAGGGCCTATACTATAGGCACTCACACTCAAAATTTATCGAATGCTTACCCCTGTTATCATGCAAGTATGTTACGTTGTATCTAAGAATCATTGTTAAGTTGTTAAACAAAGGCTTGCACTTCACGTAAACATCACGGTTTACTGAAGAAGTATAGTCAAATTTCATCTTAATGTACCTATCTGTGTATATTTACCAAAGAATCGTTTTTGTTTTATTGTTAAAATATTTATAAATGTTTTCTTAGAGTAATTATTAATTTTTGTTATAATGTTTAAACCAAAATTTGGTGTTTTCAGTTATATTGTTATTTTTTAATTTATAATAAATATTTATAAAACGAACGGGCATGAATTTCCTTTCTCTATTTTTTATAATATTTACACAAAAAGTGTTATATTTACTAAGCAGGTATGTACTGTGGAATAATACCAATTTGTTGTTGCTACTAATGCAAGCATTTAATATTAAATATAACTTAGTTACAGTACAAAACAAATTTATATTATATTAACTATTAAATTCTTTAAATGTACCTTTTTTCATGTAATTTCAATTAAAAAATAAATTCCTGCATGATACAATGTTTGTTGCGATAAATAGCAAGTGCAGTTGTTACAACTTAGACGCTGCTAAAATGACAGACTAATGTGATTGCATTAAATATCAATTATTTGTATGAAAAAAAAACTAATTTTGATGCACTTAAACTTGTTGGTTGGAGCTACCAATATTGGCTGTTCCGACAACAAACTGTAAAAACAAATATGTATTAGTTCCCACAACATATTTTTTTGTTGTGCCTATTTTTACTAATAAAATTGGTTCTGGGAACTAAATTTTCATTGCAAATACCAGGTCTTTTCTAAGAGTGTATGGGGCTGGATAAGTGTTTATGGACCTGGTGTTTGCTGGCGATTAGAGGGAAGGTTTAATGCCAAGAATTAAGTAAACATTTTGGAGAACATACTGCTACCATCTACCCAGCAAATATATCCGAATAATAACTTTATATTTCAGCAGGATAATTGTCCAGTCCACACTGCCAATACTGTTGCCCCCTGGTTTCAAACCTAAAATGTAGAAGTGCTTCCCTGGCCTGCTTATAGTCCCGATATTAATCCAATCGAAAATATATGGGGTTTGATTGTACAAAAAATGTATAAACGAAATTACACGCCTCAAAATTCTGAGGATTTATGGGAAACTATACATGACTGCTGGGAAGATATTAATCCAAATATTGTATTAAATTTAATTCAGTTCATCCCAAATAGATTGGCTCAAGTACTAGAGCAGGGATGCATGACTAAATATTAAATTTTTTTGAATGTTTGTTTTTTTTTCATTTCTAATAATAATTTTTGTAATATTATTTAATTAACCTACGACCCTAGTCCTACGACTTCAATGCTCTTTATATATAATTATTTAAATGACTTATGTCAGTGAAAAGCTGGTTTTAAGCAATAATATTATTGTGACAGTTTTCTCTCATTCTAATTCTTGTACGCTTTTTTATTGAATAAAACTGTACATGCGTTCACTAAATCATTTTTTTTTGTAAATTCATAAAGAAATCCATGAAATTTAAATGGTATAAAACTTGCCTGCATCTGGCCCACTCATAGTGTATGTCAAAAAGTTAATCCACCTTTAACTGTAATGTCTTAAACTCAGTGGCGTATTTAG